TTCTTTAAAGACACTTTTTCGGTGAAAATGCTCAAATTTGTTCACACATCACTTTAAAATGAACATAATTTCCACCCAGTGATACTTGATTCAAAACAATTTTCAAGAACCCCAGCAGTTAAAATATAATACATAATCATGGTATCATCTATATAATAATATCTATGATTTAAAATGTATTATTCAAGTTTTTCGAACTCAACCTTTAATTTTTATTTTACATGTATTCTAATAAATTATATGAATAATTTCCGCAAAGTATAATTGAAATAATACATATAAACAAGTCTGTCCATAACCGTATGCAACTTTTATAATATTTGGTGTCACCAAATTGGTGTGTACTTGGCCGTTTAAAATCGAAAAAGTGATAATGCACACTCCTCCCTCCCCCGGTCCACCAAAAAAATAATAATACAAGTTGCTAATATGCCGCTGGATAAAAGGCAGTCAGAATATTGTTTCCATTTTCGGTGAAAATTCGATAAAAAATATATTTTTTAATAAATATATATTTGTTTATTTAACTCGACTAGACGATTTTCGTTTTTACTCCTTGTCCTGCAAAACGAGTATAGAAGAAGAGTTTATTTTTAAAACGTATAGTATTTTTATTTTTTTGGGCTCGTAATAATACTATAATAAATGCGATCTTTTTGTTACTTGTATAAACTTTCCTGGTTAATACATATTTTATTCGACTGGTGATATATAATTTATACAATATGTCATTTTATATATTTTATATACTTTGGAAAATCGAATAAAAAAATAAAAACAACACAATGTTTGATTATGACAGTTTTAAAAATATACGATCACAACTTATATACATTATGATACGTCTAAAATTGTTTTTATAAAATGCGCGTCGAGCCCAGTGATTTATTACTTTCAAACTTAAAAACACAAAACATATTTACTTAGGCTGTGATGACAGCGGCCACTATACCTTATTGTTGCTCATGTATACGCGATTCCCACGAAATTAAATCTCAGTCGAAGTCAAACGAAGCGGAACACGTGTTTCAAAAACAACCGAGCACAAACATTACAGTATCAACAATATCATCACTGTGTCGTCAGTATATGTTACAATAATTTGTCTGTATACCGTAGATAATTAGTTTAAAAAAAAAAAAATTATTTTCATTCGTTTTGTTTACATGAAGTCGACTTTTGCATTTTATTAAATTGAACTCTAAAATCCTTTAAAATTATATTTTTTTTTGAATATTAGAAAATAAATAATAGCATTATAAAAAGTCGGGAAGGTAGGATTAGGTACATACAATTATTTAATTTTCACCTGTAAGCAACGATACACCGTTGAAAATAAAAAAGGATTCGAAGCGAAGTTCGGTTATATATTATGTTTTGAAAGGCCGTGATATTTCTTCGTTTTTTCATAGTTTTTCTCATTTTTTGGGAAAACTCCTTGGAAAATCTAAAAATTACCTCCCCAATCAGATTTCCTTTCAGAAAAAATGCTATAATTGTAACTCGGAGCAAAATTGGTGGTAGAAAAGTTGTTCACAGATAAAAAAAAAATAATAAAAATAAACATAATTATAAAACCAATGAATTTCTCGCTCCACTAAAAATTTAAAATGAAACTTTTCTTCAAAAATTCAAATATTTTTTCAAAAGTTACTTCATGTTTACTATTGTTTCATAGGTTAGTAATTAAAACCATTTTGTTTCTACATTTTAGGTCTGAATACAGGTGCAATAACGAATAATTGTGATAATAATGCTAATAGTGATGATAGAAATTCCAATGGGGATAATTACGTAAAGATAAATTCCAATATCGATAGTGTTGTCCAAAAATCTAGTTGTCTCAGCAAGGTAATTATAATGTAAACGTAAAACAACAAATACAAGTTTTAATTATTTTGATTTATATTTCAGACAATAGCAAATTTGCGAAAAGTATATCAGATATTAACAATTTAGGTCATAAAATAATCTCAACTCAAATGGTTATTTTAGTATAAAGACGGACAAAGCTATAGCTAAGATTTTTCATTAAACATTCAAATAGCAATACATAAAAATTTATAAAATAATTAAACAAAATTTTAATATTAATAATATTAATCAAGATACAAATGCAATAATACAAAAGGTATTAAGTGAAAATAAAAACATTCAAAAAAAAAGAGTAAAAAACTGATTAATTTATAAAAAATTAAAGTTAGACAAATTTTAAAACGTAAGACAGTAGCTGGAATAATACAATTTCACCAGTCAATTAAGTATAAGTATTAGCTAAATTAATAAATACTAAAAATTAGAAAGTAAAAACTAATAAATATATACAATTTTCTACAGTCAACCTACAGATTGCACATTTAATTCATTAAATGTAGACAGCTTAAATTTTAATGATTTAAATATATCAGAATTTATGTATTTTTTTTAAAACACAACACCATCAACGCTGATGTGTGGAAGCTTGTTACCGATTTTGCAGATAATTATTTATTTATAAACATAAAAAATCCATATATACACCAATATTTTATGTGGAATATAAATAATATAATTCATAACGTGGAATTTGAAACAAATTAAGATATTAATAATTTAACTAAGTATGTAATTTAAGTGGCTACACTTAAATTAGATTCTGAGTGTAGCGAAATTTAAAAGCTTCTTTTTTTTTTTTTTTTTACTTTTTCTTATAACTACCAGAATCCAATACTAGGCTACTTAATTTACAAGATATTCGATCATTAAATTTTATGTTGCAAAATTTAATATCATTTACGAATTCCTGAATATTTTTTTGTACAATAAAAATGTGGTATATACACAAAATAGCATTATTATTTACCAAAAAATAATTGTACACACATTTAATAGTATGACTGACAAAATGGAAAATTGTAGTGACCATCTGTATTTTAAATATAATTTAAATGTGTGAGTGTAGTTTCGAAAGAACAATAACAATTATTTTTACAAATAATAATAATAATATATTATAATTAGACATAAATTCGAAGACATCCAACTCTTAATTCAAACAAGGAAATCTAACATAATATTGGAAATTAAATACAATGAAGAACATGGCTCATTTGACAAATTTTAATACTTGGAACAATGTTTTTACAAAATAAAAGCAATTTGTCAAAAACAAAATATGCGATAGTATGACCTTTAAATATACTTATTAACCTAACTTAAAAACTAATGTATACATTTTGATCATTTCAGGCAAGAAATCATTATAACACCTTTATTATAATAACAAATATTAAAATTTAATTTTCAATCAAAATTTTCATATAAAAAATTCAAAAAAATAATACTTTCCTCAACAAGTAAAGAAATTTTCATTTTCATATTTTATAGACGTCGAAAACACAATAATAAAAAAAAATAGCTGCACAGAATAATCTATTCAATTATATTATTAACACACCACAAGATATTATAATTTTTTTCTCTAAACAATTACATTTACCATGTATAATAAACGAATTACTCAATTCAAAAATTAAAAAACAGATAACGATCAGGTTAATTTAATTAAAACAAAAATAGAATATATACAATCAATAGTTAATAAATTAATTAAAGAAACATTAAATACAGACCGCAAACAATTTTACAAAACATTTAATACACTTCTAATACAATACAGGCAGCAAATAATAAATCTCACCAAACATTTTAAATATAACAATCTAGAAAAAATAAATAACCCCAATTGCTGTTCAATTGTAACAAACACACCATCATCAATTCAAAACCTTCCAAAAAAATATGAAACAAGTCATTTTTATAAAAGGTGTATTTTTTTATTTAATTTTAATTACGGAATTTGTACCGTTTATTCATTTTTCAATTCTTTTGGTTTAAAGGTACAAAAATGAAGATTTCAAAGAAAATGTCAAGTTATAACAACTATTTTGGCTGAACAAATTATTATTATTTTTTATTTGTTAATTATTTATTAATAATAAATATAATAATATTTTTTTCCCCAAAATTTGTAAATAGTTTCGTACAAAATTCAGCCAGGAACATACCCTTGGTTCCTCGCTGATACCACAACTATTTCATTGTTTAAGGTTTTGGTATTTAACATCTTCTTAGATGCCTTTAAAAAAAAATATGTATACTATATACCATAGTTCACATTTTATAATAAGGAAAATATAACATTCAAATATTAATCTTATTTAAGGAATATGAGTTTGTATCAAAATCTGAAGAACACGAGTTTGTCTCAAAATCTGTTGAATCTGATTCACCATGGGTCAGCGCAGGTATAACATTACCTGAAGTAACTAAATGCAATATTATCTGAAATACCAAAACAATTAGATTTTAAAAATTATTTTTAAAAATATATTATATTTTATTACCTTCAACCTGTATCCATTATAAAAATTATAAAAAAAGTACAGCCTTGTAATATCGGTCAAAACCAAAAGTTAGCAAAAGTGTTGTCGTTAAAAAATAAACGTATACAATTTAGTTTTGTTTATTCCTTGATAAATTTGTCAAAGCAATATATGCAATAGGAACGATACTTGAAGTATTTAATGCAGCTATTTAAAATAATAATGGAAATTGTTACGTTATTAGTTTAGAAATAATATAAATAATAGCGGTCGCCTCGGTGAGGATCGAACCCGGCCCTACTGACACCCAAACTGTATTAAATGCCCACTTGCCTATTTGTAGGCTGGCGAATAATAATGTTTTTGTGTTATGATAAACCGCGTACTACTGATAATGATAATTATTAAAGCAACAATTTGACGTACCCGGTAGGGGAGACTAAATAACAAACATCCTTCATATTCATCATATTTTTATTTAGGGCTTTGGACTTTTACTTATTTATATTGCAACTAAAACAGTCTTTCCAATTGCCTAAAGATTAATACTTTTATACAAAACACCCTCTTTTTTGGCAGTATCCTTTCTTTTAAAAGAGATCCTGTTTCCAGCAGTTGCTAATAGTCAAAGCACAGATGCAAATCGCTATCGAACACAGGTCCCCTGTTAGGCAGGGAAGTGATATGGGGTTGGCCCTGGATGATTTAGGATATGAGCGAAAGTTCACACCATACACGGAAGACGAAATAATTATTAGTTATAGTTTATCTTATCAAGCTGCACCTGATAGAATTATTGAAACGATGTATAGAGGGAGAAGAGTTGTGATTAATCAATACGCAACGCGCATGCGTTGCAAGGTTTATACACATTCGATTGAACAATATACGAGGCGAGAAGAAATGAGCAGTAAATTAGTAGTCACGTCTCATCATAAAAGTGGTTATTAAAATGTATAAGAAGGTTTCAAATTTTATAAACTTGGAGAAAATCTGGAAAACCGGCACCGATCTCTCTTAACAACAAGTCATTATTGTGTCGAAATTAGATTTTCAAATTTACTTTGACTTGACTCTGTATTATAATTTATTAATTAACAAAACAATTGACTTTTAACGTGTTGATTCGTTTTTCGAATTTGTTTGAATATTAATTTAACTTGAGCAGGTTAATATTATTCATTATTAATTTGCATATCTACCCCGATTCTTTATTTATTTAACTTACAGCGGATAATTTATATTCTCCGAGAAACGGCAAAAAGAGATAGTGCGAGATTTGTTTTTGCTATTATTCTAATATATATAAAAGCATTAAGCAATAAAAACAATTAAATTAAATTAGTAACTTTGTAAGAAAACTAAACGTTACAATCTGGTTGAAGTAAACGAATATACAGGGTGATTAACATCAAAAAAAAAAAACCCGAAGACACTCTTCATATCGGAAAGTATTATATATTTTTTATTAGAAAATGAAATAAATATGCATTTCTAAAATGTTATATCGTCATTTTTTTTCGAAGTGAAACTATTACCCATTTTTGATTTTCAAATAGCAACCTATATAAAAAATGCCATCAATTAATAACGTTTTAGTGTTCACATTTTTAATTTTCTTCAGCCCGTTGACGAGATAATTTACTTTTCATTCTGTTCGATTTGTGTGCAAGGAGAGATTGGATAATTAAATTATATTAAACAATAATAATACGCAGCCGGCCGGATCGTCACACAAATGATGCTCTACTACTATATCCCACCTAAAAACCGACGATCTTAATAGTGAGACATTTCGTCAACAAATTGACGGAAATTGAAAATGTCAGTGTATCGAAATGTTTATTAAAATTAAAACTGTATCTATTTATTTATGGACGGCTGAATATAGGTTGCTAACTGAAAATCAATATTCAAGAATAGTTTATGCCCGAAAATGCGGTTACGTTAACGTAACAATTCAAAGCTGCTTGTTTCCAATATATTTTCTAGAAAATAAATGCCGAAAATAGTTAACACATTACGAGATAATGAGTTTCTTACGTAATGTTGATCAGTCTGTATACATAAGACATAATATATATATAAAGCTTAATTAACACTCACCTATAAAACTGGTCGAAATACAACCCATTTATATTAAAAGCCGAAGGGTGCGGCAAGCTTAAACTTTATCCTTGCTCGCAATACGCCTACCTATACTGAAAATGCTAAAGTTAATTATACAAATATTTTTAAGCTGTATAAATCTTTTCCAGTCTTATAACCTACTGCGTAAAATTGAATATATATTATTATTATAAGCTTATAATATACGCGCATAAATCTGTAATATATTTATCGTATGATATCAACTAACAACTGTAATAATAATAATAATTATTATTAGTAAAATGTATAATAATATGATGGTGAATAATACATAAAAATCATCAAACCCGAATTAATCATTAATTTATAATAAAATTAAAACAGTTTTCATCATCAATCAGCATTTAGATAGATAACTATATCATATGTGTACTATATAGGTAAAATATTATACATCATGCTTTGAAATGTCTTTTTTTTTACGATTTTCATCAACATTTTAACTTAAAACAAACGCTTATAAAAAAAAATTAATTGTCCCGTAAACAATTTTCTACCAAGAATCTTGCCCCAATCAAAAAATGACAAGCAGCCTTTTTTATTGTATTTTAAATCAAGTTGGTCTATTAAAGATATTTTTTTAATAATTTTCCAAGTGATTTTCCTATTAATTGTGAAAAACCGTAGGAAGGTTAGGTTTAATATACAGTTAGGTTACATTATTTTCGATTTCACTGTTAATCGTAGACCTGAAATTTTCATAACATACTTAATCGACGTGGTAAAATTGGTGTGGTAACAAACATTCTAGTGACTTTTCAACTATCTTTAGCTATTTGAAATATTGTTGAATCACGATATTTTGCGGGAAGCGGTACTGCGTGATGCTAAACAATTTTAATTCGGAGATTTGGTGGTAGAGAGAATTTGTGTCGTGTAAAGTACCGGTGGGGTGACGACTACGGTTTAGAGTACAGCAAATTTTGACAAAAATCGCGGAGTTTCAAACCAATAGTTTATTCGAACTTTATTCAGAATTTTTTTGTTGACAGGGAATTACCGGAGAAATTTGTTTGATCGATAAAAACAAAAGTGTGCTCCACGGAGAATGGTACGATCTGTCGCATGCGTCCGCTTTTTTCAAGGCGTTACAATCAAAGTAAGTAACAGTTAGTGTATTTTTTTTTTAATTTTAAATTTGTTTGTTTATTAGACGATGACATTCTTTACATTCGAAATGTCGACTAATTATTCGGAAACCGTGCTATAAGTGGATTATTATTCAATTAATATATACGATGCATATTATACAAGCTGCTGTTTCACTGTGGTGTTTAATTTTGTTTTTTTTTTTGATGATGGAGTCATTGAAACTGCATTATCCCAAAACTGAGAGAGAAAAAAAGGGGTTTAAATATAAATAACACGAATGCTTGGTTTGCATACTTTACAGTTTACACGTTAAACTTAAATTATAAATGTATTCACGTGTGAAAATGTACACGTTTTTCAAATGGGTTTTTATTTATTTGTCTCTATTTTTTAATATACTTTATAAATGGCGAAAAAAGATTAATATACTATTATATTATTATATAATATGTTAATATATTAATTTTGAGAGACCGAAAATTTAGAATTCGATACGAGATTGATGCCTTCGATTAATACTAAATGCATTCGTTAAACAAAAAAAAAATAATAATAATATAATCACCGATATTATGGGTAGTATATTATTCATTAATGTTATTTATTTGTATACAATTGCTGTGGTATTTAGATTTTAGATAAATAGGTAATAATTTATTTTATCTAATCTATTTAACCATGACGTGATTAGTACGTTATCGTTTGTCATTTTTAACGTAGAAAAATATGGAAGCCGATACCAATAATTACCTCAATTTCGATATATTATGATACTGTTTTAAGTATAGAAATTATCGATAATTAAATCGTCTGTCCTAGTCTGTCACGTCTAATTTCCCACCGAATACAAATTAACAATAATTTATATTTTACTGATTATGATGGTATAGGTAGGTAATATGTAGGTACAGGACCGGAGTATTCGATTTATTTCGAAATTTAATTGTACGCATAACAATAACGTACGTACCTAGGTACTGTATTTTTATTTTTAAATTGATCTAGCAACATTTACCTAAAACATTTATAACTATTTCACTACCGTCTTGTTCTTCGAAGATATACGGCAATACTTAATATTATTGTATTCTATATTATATGAATGGTATTATTAACTTATAATTATTTTATATTATTATGGTATTACATATTTACATAAAAAAAAAAAAAAAATTCGTATTCTTAATATCTATTCTAATTTCTAATTATGTGATGTAAATGCAAATATCCCGCACCATTTTTACTATTGCAAAAGAGAGAATATAAAATAAAATATTTATGGTTGTATCAATTTCCATTCAAATACAAATTTTTTCAATTACAATTATTTATATAAATTGAGTACGTAAGTATACTTAAATTTAATTAATAAATCGAAAATATACGAATTATCGGGAATGAATATGATTGTGTTGAAAATTTAAAACTGTAGAATATAATAATAATCGAAGGCAGAAAAATAATAAAAATAATGTTGAAAAATCGGACAAACATCTACTTTACGACGGGTGGGTCACTATTGTAGGTGAGAAGTTGAGAGAGTAGGATATAGAAGTGAATTAAATTTACAACTCTACACAACAATAAAGCATTGCTAACGAAAAACGATTCGAATTGAAGCTTCTTTTATATATGTACGTATATTTTGAAGGTTTTTTGTTTAAAAATGAATTTAAATTAACATTTTCTACCAATTATTTTGAAACCCAATTGGAAAATCAAAAAATAATCTCCCTAAAGTACCAGCAACTATAAACAAAATTTTCTTTCAGAAAAAATGGTACACTTGATACATTGGAGCAAGATTTCTGGTAGAAAAGTTGTTCACAGAATAAACATAAACGAATCAATATCATCGTAAAACCAACACATTCCTCGCTAAGCTCCGAATCTAAAATTGATTTAACACCAACCAATAGCAATTTAATTTAATCCCAATTCGCTGACTTAATAAGTATAGGTAGTTCAGTTCGAGTAATTTGCGATTAACAACTTTTTTTTTTTCATTATGTTTGCATAATATTATTTTACTGCAGTAATCGCATATCGGTAAAAAAAAATAAATGCATTGTATACCGTGTCATGATAAAACCATCAAAATATATCCTTTATACTATATAAATAAGCACTAATAATAACTATATATGTAAATCATATTCACTATACGCACTGCAGTTATACGTAGTTGCGATGTATAACGTAATATTATTTCCCGTGTAAACAATGAATAAATTATTAATTTTATAAATTCGACTTTCGGATTCTAAGCACAACGAGGAGGAATATATATTGGTTTTACTATATCCTGTGCTTTTTTTTTATTATTATTCTGTCCAAGTGCTCGAATTGGAAAAATAAAAGAAGAGGTACTCTGTATCCCTCTTGTGAGAGAATGAAAAAAATATATACATATTTCGTCCACTGCAATCATCGAACTCGTTCTCTCTGTAAACCACTTTTCCCCAGAAATATTGTTCCGTCAGTCATAATTTAATGATGGTTTTTGGTGGAAAATGAATTTTTTTGGTGCACTGAGAAAGTCGTTTTTTAAATTTTCCTTTTAGTTTTTTAACTCATAGAGTCCAAAATTTATTTTATTTTAATTAAAAATTTGTTTTATAATTATGGTCAAAACTCATTTTTAAACAAAAAACCGTAAAAATTATTTGTTTTGATTTTTTAATCTAATAATGAGGTATTTAATGGTCTGGCAATGTTGATAATTCATTATGATGTTAAAATATTAAGCAAAGAGGTTATTCATGAACTTATTAAGAAGCCTATGATTCTAGACATAATATTTATATAATTCAAAATTTGATAACACATATTTTGTTAATTTTTATTTTTAATATAGAATAATTATATAAATATGTGATGTGATATAAAATGTAGATACGGGTGGGGGCAAACAAGTTTGTAATGAATATTTATTTTAATACCCCCTCTATGGAAAATTCTGAATTACGCCACCGATCTAACTGTATAGGACAAACGTATTTGGTAAATATATAATATATATTATACAAGTATCCAGAGAACCTTGCAGTATACAAATCCTTATAAAACGTTGGACACGATCACGAAAACGGCATAGATAGATAATAATTGCATATATATTACATAAATAAAATTGTATTCGTTACGAATTCATGATAAACGATAATGCTAGTTGTTTACGCACAAAAAATAATAATAAGCCAAACTAATACCCATACAGATGCGTATCGTAACTAAATTAATTAATTTCGAAACAACGAAAAAAAAATAACAAACATATATGCATAAAGAAAGGTCCTTACCATATCAGATAGTAATTTTCGTTTTTCTTATTACTGCAGAATGCGCTTGTTAAAGTTATAAAATATACCTACATTAATATCCTATTACGCACTCGACATTTTATACGCGATAGTTTTATCGTGGGTCATATTTTAAAATTTATTACGTTAAACAATATTAAAACTTTTTTTTCCGAAATTAAATACCCACTCGGCGATATCATATATAAATTCTAAAAACTGTATTAAAAGCACACGCTATACGCTGCCAGTATAAATTTTATACCGAGAGTGTACCTACAATAAAACAACTTATAGTATTTTTCAGACGTAAGTAGTACTCCGAATAGTTTTAAAATGTCCATAAATTTCATAAAAATACTATGAAGATACAGCATTATTGATAAGTATTATAAAATTGTGCGTAATGTTTAGATTCAAAGTATAACGAAGAAGCCATCGGTTTTATAAAAATGTATGTATTTTTCCATGTCATACTATAAAAGATGATGTGGACATTCACTTAATGGTAAGTACTATATTTGAAAAAAGATTTCGACATTTTTAATACATTTTATAAATAATTGGCTATTTTTTTTTTTCTGTTTAAGTAAATATTTTTATTTTTCACGCAACACATCAGAAAATATGAAATAAAAGTTCCATTATTTAGCTAGTACTTTATTTCAAAGAAATGCCTGTGTTCCTAACTATTCGCTACAAAATTTGAAAACGAATAATAAATTGAACAAAAAAATACACCACGCTTCAATATTATCTTTGTTGATTTCTGGGTTACCTTAGTTATAAACTAAAAAAAAAAAAAAACACGACTAGATTACTCCGCTCAGATTCTTTAGATATTTTTTGATTTATCATTTCATACAACACATAAAATAAATTGCCCTCTATATTTTAAAGCCATCTCAGCAGATTATGCGTAGGTATAGTATTAACTTTGTATTCAAATGTATACCTATTGCCTATACATTAGAATACTGTCTGAATGAAAATTAAATATAATTAAATGTGTAAAGTAACTTTTTAAAAACAATTTTAATTGTGATATTTAATTTATAAGCGTGTTTTTTTGGAATTTTAATGATTTTTTTTTCGAAGTTAGGTTGGTGCATTAAATTCGCAAACATAGTTGAATTGGAAAATTTAGGCGGGCGAAGTAGCACGTTTGCAATTAAAAATCGCGCTATTGCGGGCAATCGCGTTTTTTTATGTAATATAGTACACGGTGTAATAAATTCGTAATTCACGCATAAATTGTAAAAAAAAAAAATACCAAAAAACACAGGCGTGAACATAAAGTATCGTGTGTAATAACACTTAAGGCGTCGTCACAGTTTGCGTTTTTATACCATAGAAGATTCCCGTATAAATACACACGCTGTCATTAGATTAATTGTAAAACGAACCCTGCAATACCTATAAATCCCCCTCCCCACCACACACACATTTTCGGTCGTTTTTTATTTATTTATTCTGTGACAGTGTATATACCGTATATAACACGATAATTAAAATAATGCATATAGGTGTACGTATTTATAATATAATAATATGTATATAAGTGCTGGTAGGGTATACAAATGATCGTCGTTTAGCTAAGCACGAATAATTCTTGAAGTCGGTCTTAAAACGTTGTTGTCGTGGCGATAAATTATAAAAAACATTGCAAAACCGGTGTTGTCGCCACGCCATCCGTTATTAATAAAATCGTAACTTTACACTATTATGATTTTTTTTTTTGTTTTAGCTTGGTTACCTCAGCAACAATATACGACTATAATAATCCACTACTAAGAATCGTTTTTTGTTAGTAATAGTTTGCTGTCATGTACAGATATAAATTAAACTGATTCCCAAACTTTTGTCAATAAACGAAAACAATTTAGAAACCAGCAAGAAAAATAATTTATATAATTGTATTAATTAAAATAACAATACAATTTTTACATTAAATTTTTTTATAATCAATTTGAAATAAAATAATAAAGTAAAAAAAAATATATTACATGGCTAATAATCGTAAATAAATAAATAAATGCGGTGCCTGGAGTATTATGAAATATGTATTGTACGACCAGTTTCAATAAATTAAAAATTCATCATCAGGTAACAAATTCAAAAAGTAAATGCGACTGAATACGAACATTTTTATTTTTATTTTGTTTCAGAAATGTGTTCTTTGTATCTCGTGCTAAATACTATTTATTAGTTACATTTAAGTTTATATTTACCAATATTTTCAAAAGAATGGGGATTTTTTTGTGAAATGATTAGTTCAATTGTTTATGTTCGATTAAATTATATTTTAGTCTTGAAAGCGAATAAACAATTTTTGCATTATTTGTNCAAGTTCCACAGCCATCGTAATCCCCTGATTACCGAACTATCTACCAACACTATTCCTGGTGACCCCAGAAGGCGTCTAAAACGTACCTGGTGTCGTGACCTACTAATATAAAATTGTTTATACCTCTATCTCCCTAATTTTGTAATCACACCCTCTCCTACTAGCAAACTAAAATTTCTAGCCTAAAATCCTAACCTTAAGTACCTCCAATGGGCGGTTTCTTATCTCCAGCCTCTCAAAAGCCATATCACCTCCATCACATGCACTTATTGTAAAACAACATTTACAGATTGTGTATATTTAAATAAAAAAGTTTATGTTCGATTAAATTATATTTTAGTCTTGAAAGCGAATAAACAATTTTTGCATTATTTGTATTAGGTGTTGTTCAGAATTTTAGAGAATTTGTTAAACATATTATTTTGATATTTTATACTATAATAGTTAACAACATTGTTTGGTAAGTTGTGTTTTAATTTTTCATAAATAACATTCATGAATTTTTTTTAAAAATGTAAAATATATTTGTACCCATACAAAGTTTAATTACAATATCAATATCTAGGTATATTTTATTATATTTAACTACCTACATTTGATATTTTAATTGAAATTAGTTAAGGTATGGATACATAATTAATATATAAGATAGATACCTCCCTAATTGTTAATAACTAGATAGGTACCCTATTTATTTAGTATTCAAAGTGTTATTTTTTTTTAAATATATATTTAATATATAGGTTTCTGCCAAGATACTGAAGCAATAATTATATTTAATAACCTATCGATTTTTTTTTTTTATGTATGCTTGGCGAGTACAATAAGTACCTATGTAAAAAAGTTGGACGAACAACTTTTGTATGTTATAGAGAGGAAATATTCCAAGGATATGAATGTAATGACCACTCAGCACTTAACTTAAATACCTAGTAAATAAACTAATTACAAACCGAAAAACCGAACTTTTTTAGTTCTTCACCCAAAACGAAGTCAACTTATAGTCTCACTTTTTTTTTCATTTTTATTGTATACACAAAAATATATATTTAAGGAAAACATCGATAGTACTACCTGGTTGTTTAACTAATTCTAGCTTATTCTATAACAATGCAACTGAAAATTGTAACATAAATAAATAAACGTACAATAAACGTACTGGCAATTATGATGTGTACAGTGTAGATTTACTCTATTCGACTTGTTTACAACGACCGTTGTTATGGTACTTGCACACAGACACAGCACACTTGTATTAAATAATGAGAATTTAACAAAATAATATGCAATTTGAGACGACTCGCTGAAAGATGAAACTCATCGGAGACACTTTAAGACTAGACCACGGTTAATCAGTAATTTATCTATAACCTGAATACCCGATAACCGTGGACTAACGATAGATAATGAAGAGTACCAACAGTTTACGTGGAAGTCCATTTTTATCTATATTTATAGAATTCAACAAAGGCAATTCGTATGATAGGTAGTAGGTACCTACTACCAAATCAATTGATTTGGTAAACAACCGAAAACTAGCGGACAAACTAATAAAATTAAAATATTATCAAAACATGTAAAATATAATATCAATTTAAGAAATTAATATGTCCAAAATATCGTTGTTTAAATTATATTATACATATTTAGAAAAATAATTAAATAATAACATTAACTGGATATTTTCAATTATATGTAAATTAAATAAGTTTAATTGAACGTTATGATATTTAAAATGTTTAAAATGTAATCTAATTGTAATATTATCATAATATTAATGTTACCGAATTGCTGTGTGGGGATCCTTTCTATAACTTTCCTCCAAAACCGGCCATCAGCAGTGGCAGCAATTTTAACAATAAAAAATGACGACGGGAATGTAGTTCGATAAATATATATTGTTATAATAATACCCCGCTGATAATAATACGATGACGGCGGATTCCAAAGTATAATATTATAATTTACATCGTTCGACGGTATTAAAATAACACGACAAATAAAATCTGTTTTGACGGCATAGTCGAACAAAGCCCGCGCACACAAATATTACGGATTACCCGATGAAGTGGCGGATCCGAAGCTCGTTTAATGGAATGGTTGTACTGTTATCGTATTATATAGTTAACTGAAAACAACTCTTTCCCCACGCTCTCTCAAATCCGCCACTGACATGAAAGCGTCGAAACTCTGTTTAGAGAACCGCCACGACGGGCACTAAAGTTTATTAAAATGAAGCTGATCACTGTTGTAGGCGAGAAGTTGAAAATTAATAATATTCCTATATATATTATACTATATTATATTATAATAGAATACTCGTAATCTATGAATGCAACGGTAAATCGTCGAAAACAAAGAATAATTATGAGTGGAGCACGGTTAAACGTGTTTTATGCTTAATTTAAATCATTAACTTTTTTTTGCTACAAAATAATTTACGATTAATCGTGATTTCGACGAATTTTCGTTTTATCAGTGATGAACTTGTGTATCCGATTTTCGTGACCATACAATTTTGTTCATATAAATCAGAAAAAAACCCTCAACATTTTCAAATATATCACGTTTTTTTTAGAAAATGCAAGCATAATAAGTGTTTTAAAAAAAGTTTCTTGTCTCTACGATTACATTATATAATGAGCAACAAAAACTAAAAGACCGGAGTTGAGTAAAAATTGTTCTCGTTTTTCTCATTGTTACGTTAAGTTCAAAGAATTTCAAAACTTAAAATTAAATGTAAAATTCTACAAGAAAACTCCTGTGATAGTTTTGTTTAGAACACGTTTTATGATGGCTAATATAACTAACAGTTCGCAGAGAGAAAATAGAAAAAAAATGGGATGATACATTTTTATCTAGGTCCACTTAGAATAATCGAATAAAATAAAATATAAATAAAATAAACTAAAAAAAAAAAAAAAAAACATATCCTATAAAACATTATATTTTTCAACACTTTTGTATGTCACCATAAAATCACTTATTACATTCATGATTCAAATTTACTGCGGAAACGGTTTGTATTATTCAGTACTCGATACTTCGCAGTAAACGAAACGGAAATAGGCACTTATACGTGCAATGAAACTGACAATTCAAAATTAACCATAAAAACCAACAAGTAAATTTTAAATAAATGTATTCATACAACCTTAAATTATAAAATATAGCATTAAAACGTCTTAATTTTTATAGATATCCGTAAGATGAATTTCATCTCAAAGCGAACATCCATCAAGGTGTCTCTGAAAACTGAGTATGACATTTCGTGGCATTTGTCGAACGATTTGTGCCATTTCTTCTCTTCTCGTATGCTTTGTTTATGACCGTCAGTTATAATCGGTATTCTTTGTTGTACGTAGGTATTTTATTCTTAAGAAGCCTGATATTTTTATACATTTGTTTCCGAACCAATTCATTTCTTGAAGTAATGAAATTCTTTAATATCCCCTCAATATTTGCCCAATTTTATGCACTTCAAGATAGAATAAATAAATTTAAAAAAAAATAAGTCTGTGGTGTTTGATAGTTATTTTTGAATCGTCCGTTTCATTATCACATCCTGTATAATAAAAACAATTTATTCTTATACATCACATAATCGACAACATATATTTCCACATTATAATAGAAAAAACCACCACCTACCGACCACGTCTGCGGATAATCTTCTGTAAAATGGCTTTCAACAATTAAATTCTACAACAGCCCTACAAATCCAATTATACAAGACCGTTTTCGCACACGCCATTTCCCTAATCGCGTGCATCCCCAAGGTGCATTATAAATTAGATATAAAGGGTATGCGAATCGGGTAAATTTTTTTTCACGAAATTATTAGAATGGCTTTGCACAGTGACGTTCGCAGGAGGTTAAGGGTTAAATCCCCTACCACACCAACTTGGGTTAAAAGTACAACAGATATGAGTACCTATTAATTTAGTAATTTAATCTTGAAACGTATAATATATTTAGTTAGATATAATGAAAAGTTTAAATTATTGATTTAAGAAATTGATTTTTTTTTTTGGACTAGGTTTTTGAATTACCATGGTCGAGTTGGATAGAGAAAACAATCCCATGATTTATACCTTATACATGATTTTTATTTGCGTTTGCTACATTCAACATTTCTCCCCATTGATAATTCCTGGGCACGCTATTGGGTTTGTAAAACGCAAATAATGTAATAATGTATACATACAAGCTCCCTTTAATATAAAAATCAATTTTTAAACGTTATCCGTGTAAGCAAAGTAAACTGCAATTTATTGAAGACTTGAAATAAATAACGGGCTACTTATGTGCCAATTAATTTGGCAATAATTTAATTTCGGCACATTTATCTTTTTTAACTCATTTGCACACAATTTGCGAAACTTTTTTTCACGCGTATTTACATCCAAATTAAAAACTGTTTTATAAAATAAATGCATGCCTTTACTTTATGCACTAAGAATAAGCAAGTATATGCACTGAAAAACAAAAAAAAACATATAAATACATTAAATTCCATTTTTTATTTGTCTATACTTTCGAAATTTAAAATTATTTAATATTATACGTTTCATTTTCCGTGTTAAACCGATAGCATACATTGTTATTACGTCCCAATCGGAGACCGAGACTTATAAGGTTTATCAATTATCAGCGGACAATTTTAAAAGAAATAGCATTAGATTAGAAATATAGCAGTAAAGCTAATCGCGATTATAACGTATTACTTATACATGACAACCGATGCGTGATGAGATACCACGATTGAAAACAATTGTTATAACATATGATACCCTGAAACCCTGTGCACCCAAAACTATGGGAGTTAGTAATTTGCACCAAAATAAAGATATGCAATTTGC